GTGGTAGCAAAGAGCTGCCTAGTGCTGATGAGTCTGCACACCTCTTGCATCAGTTCTCAGGTAAAGTGGATCCCTCTGTCACTTGAGTTCTTTTGGAAAGCCCACTCTGCAGAACACTTTCAGGAGAGCTTCTGCTACTCTATCTTTGGCAGTGTTATAACTTCTGGATAACGTGTCGTGTACTTGACTACTGTCAGCGTGTACCAGTTGCCCTTGTTGGATGCAGGTGCTAGTGGTGTGATCAGGTCAAAGCTACTCTGCTGAATGGCTCTTTTATGAGAGGCATCTCACCCAGTGGCACCTTGGCCACCTTCTCTCTAGGTACTGTCCTTTGAAGAATCTGGCCACATTTCCAATGGCCCCTGGCCAACAGAAGTTGCTGGTGATTCTGTCTGCCAACTTCTTCACTCCTAGTTGTCCTCCTACAATCAACTCATGAGCCAACTTCAATAAATCACTTGAGTCCAGTATTCTATTAGTACTATGATCTGGTTAACTTTCCGAGTAGAACTGCCTTTATAGATCCGGTACAACATTCCCTTCTGGTCCTCTGTTTGGTAAGTCACTTTTCCTTGATTTTGTGGTCGACTTTCACCCAGGCATTGTCCCAAAGTTTCTGAAGTGAAGGGTCTGTCTTCTGTGCTTCCTTCAGTTCCGGTAGACCTACAATCGAGATGTCACCTTTTGAGAGTTCCAGGGGCTTGATGTCTTGCTTGCTTTTCCTGAGCTCTTGTGGTGAGTGCAAATACTTCATCAGTCTTCTTTCTGTCTGGTTCTTTCTAACTTCTGCTTGTTATATTGTCAATCACCAAGTTATATATTGGTGCCTTTATACATATAGTCTCAAGATCTCCCACATAGTATGAGGCATCCAACTTTATTCTTGCAATGTGAAACTTTCTCACTGTCCCATCAATCAGCACACACAGATGTACCTTGCTCATCATCTTGTCATCAGATAATAGACTGGTTCTCACAGCTGCACCAAATATCTCATAGGACTTTCACTTTCTTGTCCCTGACTTAGCCTTCACCTACTGGCATGTTGTCTTTCGGTGGTACCTCTTGATGTTTGCCACATGCTCTGAACATCACTGTTGATCTATTTGCTAACTTGGGATGATGATCAATCATGCACCATTTAATCAAGGTGATAGCACTTCCTTCTTGTGGTGAACCTGACAAGTTGTCCTCATTCTATTTTTTCTGGCAGCAGCAACATGCATGGTGACAGTTGCTCTTTTTTTGTTTCTTGTTTTCAGCTGTTTTATGTTGAGATTTCTGCTGCTGCTTGTTGGTGACAGACTTGTATTCACTTGCAATGTGCCCTATTATATGACAAGCATAGCATCTCTTCTCCCTTTTATCTTTTGACTTCTTGTCACCTTTGGTGACATCCTGCTTCTGGTCAGCCACCCCTGGTTTGAACTTTGACTGGTTATTCTTGAACTTGCCAGTTACACTCCCTCCATGGGCTTCCATATACTATTCTGACAGCTTGGCCATCTTGTCCACGTCTTTCTGTGCTCTCTTCTTTAGTGTCACTGTGAGAGCACATGAACATGAACTGTTCACATATTAGTAGATCTGCTAGTCCTTCAAAACTATCTTCACTCTTGCCACGTCAATCCATCTTGTGAAGTATTGCTGTAGACATGACACAAATGGAAATACAGTTTCTCCTTTTCAGGTTTGACTTCTCTTAATTTCTAATGAAAGCCTTCCTTGGTGAGTTCATAGTACTTCAGCAAGGCTAATTTTAACTTGTCATAGTCAATGGAATCTCATGACGTCATGCCCGCATACACTTGTAAACCTTTTCCTATTGGGGCTGAGACAGACTGCCCAGTCACCTTTGTTCCAGCTCTGACCAGGAAAGCATCCATGTTGTCTTTTTGTTGATCAAATTTGGGCAGCTTGGGTCAGCTGGTCCTGACCCCATTGTCATTCTTGGGTCCTCTGTCTCTCTGTTGGGTGAGCTTGGCAATCTCAATTTGTGCTCTTATTCTCTCTATTTCCAGTCTCTTCTTTCTCTTTTTTGGGCTTGTATTTCATGCACATGTTCTTCTTTCAGTTTTTTCTTTCTTCCTCTCTTCTCTACTTCTCGTCTTCTCTCTTCTGTTGATGCTCTTCTATCTCTAGGTCTTGTTGTTGTTTAACCGTCTTTGAGCCCAAGTCATTTGCCCCTCTCTATCTTCTTATCATAGTCAGTCAACAGTTGTGACCTCTACAATATTTTCACCACCACTGTAACTGTGTTTATATAGGCCTCTTTGCTGCTATTGTTTGTCATTTTCTACTGCCGTTTACCACTGTAAGGCCAAATTCTTTACAGTAAGTGTCTGTGACTTTTTGGCAAAAAAGTTCAACTACAAACAAACAGCAACACTCTCCACTTGTTTTAAAATAATATATTAAAAAGAAATGAAATGTATATACAAATGTTTGTTACACTGTTGGTTACCATAGTTGTATCCAGAGCTTTAAAGTCCACACAGGCTGGTTTGGTTACTGTAGAACACAATCGACAAGACAAATTCTTCTTGCTCTGTTATTATATTACAGTCTGTGATAATTTCACTTTAAAAATTGCCACTATACACTCTCTATCTCTAAACTTACGATCATACAGCCTAGAACTCGAACTCAATAAAGATTTTTCGACGTGTATTTATACCCAGACAGAAGTCTAGAACATTCCATGCAATACTAGATATTCTGATGCAATAATACCCGATTAAACCAAGAAGAAACTCGGTCCTATCAACATGATGCAATAATCTCACTATTGTAAACAATCACTAATTCATAACAATTTAGCTACAGAACTTATGATTTGTAAACAGTTATGTAAACAAACGCACCATAAAATATCACTTCTAAAATAACTAAATGTGACTCTTGTGCTATATAAACTAACTAAATCATGATGCTCACATTAAACTGAAACTGAAACAGTTGTGTATATCTAACAGTCCATCAAGTCATTGCAGAGTCACTGGCTGAGGCATTTAACAGAGATCTACAGCTCAGATTAGATCAAATAAAGGCACATTAAATCTTGAACATAAACACTTAATAACTACTAAAGAGGTGAAAATGAGGACAAAGAGGATGTTCAGTGTTCTTGTACATTTGACCTTAAGCTGTTGTATAGGAAAAATATAGACCAGTAATTATATGTATGTATATATATTAGAGTGAAGGTATGTTGTGTTTATTTTGTTAAATTATCTTAATAAAGTTTTGTATGTCTGATAGTGATTTTTTAGTGCTTACATTTAATTATGCATTTTAGAAGTTCTCATTAAATTCCTTTCAAAACAAAGCCAATGAAATTTTCAGTTACTATTGTATTTGAAGATAACTGACACTCAAGCTTGTGTGTAAGGTAGACCAGTGGGCAGAAGTTTAAATGTTTAAGTTTTGCACAATCAACACCAGTAGCTTGAACAGTCTAACCACAGAATTTGAATTTGAATCAGCTTGTATTATAAATATCATGTGAGAAAAAGAAAAGCCAACCCTATAATCATTATTGTGGCAATTATATTTGATACTTTAGTGTTACAGAAATCTTCTTTTCCATCTCTTTATTTTAAAAATTAAAACAGCATTTATAATTTGATAATGCTTGAAGAATGAACTATTATAGGCAATAAGAGCAAAATAATAAAAGGTAAGAAAAAATAATTTCGTATGAAGGGTATGTTTTTTGACACTGAAAGTGCTCTCTACCTTGTAAAGATAAATAAAGTATATTTCAAACTGAAGTATAGTAGGGCATGCTAGTGTTAAGGGTAACTGAAAATCAACTTAATATGGTTTGAATTTCATTACATAGGATAGTTTAAAAATCAAGCATAACTTTTGGTAGGTAATCCCATTTAAATAATTCATATTTTTACTGTCTACTTTAGCAAGGACCCTGAAAATTTACAGTTTATACTGATTAAAAACTTACTCACAGGACTTAAAAAAACAATTTTACATAGTTTTAATTCAACTAATTGTTGGTAAGTAAAAAGAAACGAAACCTATAAGGTTGTAATTCTGCCCCTCCTCTGATTTCAGTGAAACTGTCTGGGTATCAAATTGTCATTATGTGTTGGCTAACTGCAGTATTTATTTTAAGGCCCTACAGATACTTGAGTCCCCCAGTGGATCAGCTGGAAGTCTGATGGCTAAAAACGCTAAAAACTGGGTTTTGATACCAGTGGAGGCACAGCACAGATAGCTCATTGTATATCTTTGTGCTTAACAATAAACAAATACAAATACTTTAAAACTTTAGATCAAGCATAGGTACCGTCAAACTATATATAATCCTACCAATAGAGTAAAGTCCATTGTATTGACACTATGGAATAAATTTTTCTAAACCAAACAACCATTGAACATTTACTTATTATGTTTTGATACTACATGTGCACATACAAAGCCATTAATGTATTTTGAACATATTAGTCACAGTCAGAACTACACCAGATACAGAAAGTATCAGTGATATGTACTATATGACACTAAGATGGAGCATCAGTGATCTCACTGGTATATCTCGCATGCTCAAAATACCACAAAGGAGATACAACATGTGCAGAGCATCCCACCACCCTGGTTACAACATTGAATTGACAGTACCAGCCTGCCCCAGACTGAAGTCTTTGTCCATACTCAATCCAGAGGATGTAGCTATTGTATGATGTATGTCTAGATTGGATCTTTTTCCTAAGAATGTTTAGTTGCTCCTTATGAAGAAAGAACCTCGTAAGATCATCCTGATCCATGTGTTCTACAGTGTACAACTTGGCTTGTTTCAACTATTTAAAGTGAAAAGAAATGACAAGTTGTTTAAAGAAAGTAGATACAACTATTTGTATATGTTTCAAAAATAATTATCCAGTAGCATATTTCTGTTTATGTAATGACAATCATGTGCAGGATCTAAAGAAGGGCAGTTCATTCAAATAGCATACATTTTTAGTATGTTTCTTTTTCAGACTGGAGAATTAACTTTTGGAAAGTTGATGAACATGCAGAACACAGATTTTAGTAGTGCAAGATCAGATGGTCAGTTGTCCTATAAATTATTATTTAAGTATAGAGAGAAGTTTATTGAAATGTAATATAATTTGACATAATCTTGAACAAATATATAACATTAAATTTAGAACAATAATCTAACAGGTATTTATAATTCTGTTACCTGTAATTTTTCAGTTAATGAGCATTCTGTGAATGCATATAATAAAATGAACTATTGTGTCATTGACCTGCGAAACAACTTACAACTCTTTATTTTTTTCAGTTTCTGTTGTTTAATACATACTTTATAGCTTGTAATTATAGAATTAGGTTTTAATTATTGGTTTTCTTTTGTTATTCTTACTAGTGCTTAAATATAAGTTAAATATTTCAGTGTGCTATAATTGTAAGTTTGGAGAAAAGATAGATTTGAAATTAAAAGCAAATGAAAACTTAGGTATTAGAGGCTATTAGAAAATATTTGCTTTCTGTAAGTAAATATAAGAAATAATTGTTTTCACTGTAAGTTAAATTTGTTGATAAAATAGATTCTATTTGGTATTATGAGGATTAAACTTTGTATTTCTTCTGATAGATGTGTTTTTAGTAAATATGGAAGCAATTGAATGATATAAAACTTCTGTTTATTTAATAGTTTCAAGAATTTCTGAACAAGATCAAAAAACACTGGTGAGTAATGTTGTTATCAACAGATGCAAGATGGGTTATTGTGAACCTCTCCAATAAAGGAAAGCAACACTATTAGTAAAGCAACAAACCTTTCTTTGCGATTAAGTTGTATGTACATGATCACTAAACCAGCATAACATTACAAACATTCAATGTCCATACTTGATCACTAAATATTCCCACATGAAAAATTTGAATGAAACAAGTAAAGTTACTGTCTTTATTGGGGGAAGTTTACTGGTTTGTTAAAAATTGCTTAAATGATATTTATTATTATACACAGTTAAGGTATTTAGAACAAGTTATGAGAAAATTAATAAGACATGGTACAATTTTGAAAATTTAACTTGATTTTTGTAGTTTTAAAGAAAAAAAACTGAAAACTTATGGAACATTTTTTTTCAGACAGTAAAAGCAGTTAGTTTTCTGTATTTGTTTTGAAATATCTACTTCAAATTAATGTTTTAATTAATATTTCTAAAAACATCTGAGATTAGTGTTTTTTTAGTGTAGATTTTTAAAGCTTTGCTATGTTTTGTTTTCTAGAACAATAGTGGAAGTGGTGTTTTTCGGAATACACCCATTTCTGATATTTATGGTGGCTTGCATCACACCTCGTATAGTCCTCATTGGAGAAGTTCAATGCCGAATGTTAATTTCCACTTGTCTAATGATCCTCCTAAGGTATAGTAACACTTTCCATAGACACTTGCTAACATAAACACTGTCACAAATATACATGAAAATGTTTTTACTTAGCAGGCATAGTTAGAGTTGAAAAAAGAAATCTATCGAAAATATTACTAATTAAACAACCAGATTTTGCTCTAACAATCATAAAAGGCTTTAAAAGTATCTTATTTTATAGTATGTTCAGAATGAATAAATTTTAACTCATTAAATGAGTTTTAAAAATTATCTGATTGACTTTTGTCCAGCAATTTATTGCATGGGATAAATTTTAATACACATGACATGATCATTGCATTACCATTTAAAGTTTGTGATCTGAGATCATTTAGTCAATTACAGATGTAGTAGATGCAGAAACTATATCTGTTCAGGTACTTGAAGGATGAGCATTTGTTATCTTATATTCTAAAGTGTGTTGTATGCTTCCTGTCTGCTCATTTTATATAATGTCTTGGAGTTGTTGTTTTTTTATTAACTACTGTTCCTATTTCACTTACATTTTTGTAAAATGTTTATAAATTCATTTGGATTATTCTTGTTTAAACTGTTTGTTTTTGAGCATGTGTCTCTTATAATTGAGTTAGTAAATAATTAAATACTATTGTGCATAAAAACAGTACTTCTTGAACAGCAAAAACCTTTAATTTTGTCATTGAATCAAACTGTTCACAATATTTTTACTTATTACTGAATATAAAATATAAACTACCTATGCCTAAATAAAAAAACAGTCGGTTAAACAACAAAATTAAAAACATTTTAGAATCATATTTCAAAAGTTTTTATTCATTTGACACCCTTTCAGTTTAGCCTGTTATATTTTTACAACTATATACTTTACTAAATGAAGCAAAATTGCAAACAACTTATTTAGTCTGAATTGTTGGAGTGTCTTAAGAAATCACTTAGGTGTGAAAAAAAAGGATTGAGCTTGTGACTTAAAGGAATGAAATCAAAATTGGCAGCCAAAAAAGGATTGAGCTTGTGACTGTAAGGAATGAAATCAAAATTGGCAGCCAAACTGGTAGCTACACTTATAGTATTGATAAGAATGTTACAGCAAATATTCATTTATTAGTTAGCCAGGTCACATTTTTTGTTCAACTTGTGGCATGATGGTGTGTAAAACAACAATTAGAATAACATAATTTACCAATGGGCCTGTATCTTTCATTTCTTTACCTTATATGGTAAGCGTAGATGACAGAATGACAAAGGAAATAAGCTTTTTATAGGTAGTGATTATTTTTTAAGTAAAACAAATGATATAAACATATTTTGGCAGAAAAATGACATGATGTTAAGTAGAAAATCAAGAAACACAATACAATGTTAAAATATGCATAAAAAATGTATTTGTTATCTTTTGCTTAAAGGGACCTGGAGTAGCAGAGTCAAAACTGCAGTTTTGGGTTACAATTGAGTTGCGAAATACTTGAAATAAGGCGTACTGTTCTTATGGAAACAATGCCAAGAATTGGCAATTATGAACACAGTCATATAACATTGAAAAATCTTTTATTCCCTAATTAAGAGAGATTAAGTTGATTAAAGTATTAGTACACTCATTCACTCAATAATAACTTAACTTACATTGTTAGACTTACCAAGCAGTTCACTGTGTTAGGTCAGAACTGGTCAAGATTACTTGGTGAGCATATTTCTTGTTCTAGAATGATTTCTGTTGAACACAAGCTTGATGTGTACTGGATAGGGTAATTTGAAAATTCCACTGGCAATACTTGCATAATGACCTTGTTTTGAACCTGTGATTCTAGTATGAAAGAACAACAAAGATGATGTTTCATTATTATTAACTTTTATTATTGAATCTAATCATTTATGTCTTTCATATTGCATTTTAAAAAGATAATTATTTCTTTTTTCAATATTTCAAGTTCAGCAAGGTCTGAAAATTTCAAACTTAGAAACTTGCACCACTAGCATGAAATGAGTTACAAACTGAGTTGTTGAGTACCCAGTGTAACAGTATCAGGCACAAAGCATAAGTTTTTAAGAAATTCTGAAAATTATATTTCACTTTTGCCAGATAATGGTAGGAAACACTACTTAACCTAGTCTTGGATATTTTCTACACCTTAAAGCTATCTCTGTTTTATGTATGTATGTATGTATGTATGTATGTATGTATATAGATAGATAATTATTATACTATTTCAGCTTTATCCATATCATCTTCTGATCATCACTAATTATCGTTTACCACCAGATGTGGATCGCTGTCACCTTGAGGTAAGGGTTTGTAGTAGGAATATAGGGTAAATATGGAGTATACTTTCATAGCTGCTGTTTTTGACACTGCTTTGTTATTTGAATAAATTTGGAAGCCTAGTAACAATTAATGTAAAACCTGTACCTTTATTTTTATTGTCTTTCAACTATATGAAATTTACTTGCATCAGCAACATATTAAATTTGTAACATGTTCTTAAACTTAATCATCAGCAACATGTTCTTATACTTAATCAAAGTTCATTTTATAAATCTACTGAAACATTATTTCTCTTCAAAAGCAATTAACTTACCATATAAAAAATATCTGTTTGGCAGTTGAAACTTTTTAATGTTGTTTATAACATTTCAAAAAATTGAGAATCTATTTCGCATATCTATCTTTTAAATATACATAAAACATTTTTCTTGCAGCGCCATCTATCAAATGAGGAATTTCAGCAAATATTTCACATGTCTCGTTTACAGTTCTATCGCATCCCAGAATGGCGTAGAAACTATATGAAACGAAGGGCCAAGTTGTTCTAAAGGTGGTTCCTATTTTCTCTTCTGAACTGCACAGTTGTTATTGTTGTCATGCTCCTTTGACTATCAGCACATTTATATTTTATTGGCAAAATGCTGTTAAGTTCTTAAAAGTATATTTTATGTGCTGTGGCAGAAAGCTTTCCATTGCTAGATGTGCAAGAAGTTTTTTCTTACTTATTTGTGTTTGTAAAGGAACTTTAAATAATTTATATTTTTATATTTTTTCTTTATTATACACACGCATACACAAGTTTTATCTTAGATTGATGTCTATATGTTTTTGGTTTGCACCAATAGTTGTTATGAAATAATGTACACACTTGTACTTGACTTTTAAATACAACTATACATACACATCCAGCTCTATAGTTCATACAGTTTTGGTGATGGTGTTAATAGTGATTGATAAAATATTTTCTTGGAAAATGTCATGGTTATGATGATTTGTATAGAGTACTAAATAACTAATAAACATAATAGATTTGTTTTGAGTACCAAGTAACTAATAAAACTTAACAGATACGTTTTTAAATTCTATGTTGTAAGTATGTTGGGTGAAACCATTTTATGTAAATTTACTAGCTGACATTGTATTTCTTGGGAAGTTCTAGAATGTTTGTTTTCCTGATAAATGTAATAATTAGTGAATAGAATAGTGATAAAACCTTGCTGATAAATATTTGTTATTTTGATTTTGTGTTATTAATCTGTTGTTCTAAAACTGTAAGCCAGTTTTATTAGTTGTTTATGTCCTGCAGTTAATTAATGCATTTGAAAATTATTTTTAACTGTTTTTGTTTTATAACTTAGTATAATGTGTAGATATGCAGAATTATTAGGCTTTTTGGTAATCTTTGCCAATCTTGTGTTAAAATAACTGTTGAGCATTCTTATTATAATATTTTTTAGTCTAAGCATATCATTGACAAAAAGAAAGCATAAACAAAGATCGATTTTTGTGTAGAGTGAACAACTATGTAGTTTAATAAAATAATCATCCACACACATTTTAACACTAGCAGAAAAATTTTAATTTTTAATATTATTATATGACTGCTTAAGACTTTTTTTATTTCTAAACCAATTTCAATAAGACAGAACTTAATATTTAATGATGGATTCAGATATTTTTTGGTTTAATTGTTTAAAGAAATGGTTTACGTACTTGAGATTAAAAATGTCTGAATAATTATGTTCTAAATGTTATTTAGCAAGCATGAGATGTTTATAACAGGTTGACTGATCATCTATTCTATAACTGAGAACGTGAATAGGCCATTACTAAGATCGGCCCTATCAGGGGAGTTTATTAAGAATTGCTTTTACATAACAAGGAATACTTAGTGCACTACTGATCAAGCTCTATTTAATTAAAAGCTATGGTCCAATGTATCCACCTTGAGAAACCTCCTGATCTTATGATGGCTCCCACCCAAAAGTATGAATGTGAAAAGGTATTTGCCTCAGACAGTTATATTATTCTATAAATAAACAATGTAATTTTGTTAAGGATTACTATAAATGATTAAAGTTAAAAAATGCAATATAACCAAATTTAGAGAAGTCAAAAAGACAAAATTTACTTTTAAAGTTAATAAGAAACATGATACTTAATAAAGAATATTATTTTATCATGTTTCATGAAATAATCTTTGTATTTAGTTTCTAGGTATTACAGTTCTCCTTGTAAAAGCTGGAACCTATTGTTTATCTATTTTTAATGTGTTTATGGAGAAGACTTAATATGTTATTGAAGAAGTATTTTATTTTCATCCATTGCTAGCACTAAGAATTATTAAAGTTAATATATACAAGTATTTCTTGATCATAAGTACATATGCAGGTGTTTTTTTTTGTTTTGTTTTTTAACATGAATCTTGGTTTCATTGGGGTAAAGCTAAAATTAAACCACTCTTTGGCTGTATATACATATAAAAAATTTTACTCTTTCAATGGTAGAATATTAGAATAAGTTATATTTGAATTACATTTTCAGTATAATTGATTTTAATATATGGTGGAGCTATAATTAAAAGAAAAAACACCAGTATGGGGCTTTGAAAACATATTAGGCAGTCTACACACAATCAATAGTTCTATGTGTAGAATAAAAGTTTAAACATCATTTTATTTGTTTACATTGCCTTTTTTCATATAAATAAGATATTACTTTTGCAAATTCTGTTATACATATAAATAATTATCTATTGTACTGTACTTTCCTCATTTTGAGTACATTCTTACTGCCATTTAAAGTCATACCTTGCCTTTTATGCTTGTGCTCTTGACATTTTTTTATGAATGAGTTAGAAAAAGTAAGAAAATGTCTTGAGTATTGGCACTCACTTAAATCATTCATGATAAATGTATTATTTTACTTGAACACGCCTTTTACCATTATCACATTCATTCTTCAGATTTAATTAATTAAATAACTTAGTTTTTGTACTTTAGCACTGCTTAACATCCCTATACCAACTACAATGACAATGTGCCTTTCTTAGTGGATTATTGTAAGGGAGTGGGGGTGACTGGGTTCAAATAAAAAGTTGAAAACAATATAGTAACTTTGAAACATAGTCATCCTTAAATATTTGTGCAGTGTTTCTACTCAAAGCTTGCTTTTCTAGTTTAATTGAAGTATAAGCTCTCAAGTGTATTTGTAATGAAGCTAACATCAGTGAGTTTGTAAATTAAACCAACCATACAGACTAAGGGCTGTTACTGAAGTGGTTTAGTTACAAAATTATCTTGTTACATATGCAGTCTGATTTTGAAACTAGTTTCACTATCTGTGTAGTGAAGGAAATTATTTGAGTGAATCTATCTATCTATACAAACTTGAAACTAGTTCAAGTTATCATTGAATTTGTTTATTTTTGATAAAAACTATAATAATATTTACCAGTAATTATAAGTATTTGTTCCTTTTCTATTTTGTATTATTTGCTAAGGTCAGGTGTGCAAAAAAAAAGAATGTTATTTTAGTGTTGATTTTTACAATCTTTCTAAAATATGTGATGTTTTAAATATTCATAATATGAGTATATGGAAGGATGAGATACATGTGAAACCTAGTTAAACAACACAGAAATATGTTTATTTTTTTTATTGCAGTAAATATGAAGTGGCTGTGAATATAATTTTTCAACAACAATTTGTTCATTATAAATATTAGGTAACAGTGATTTCGGAAGCAGCTCACCTAGTTTCATCAGCTCCCTTAATTCCCTACTAAAAGTCTAGCTTACACTCCTTATATATCTTGAATTTTATGAAAGACTAAATAGTTTTAACTCAAATGAAGAAAAGAGATTCATGTTAAAAATATTTTAAAGATATCATATTGTTACGTCTCCGTTTCGTTAATTGATTTTTTCGTAACTTCGTTCTGACGAAATTTTAACGACACAAGTCTTTACTTAATAAAACTGGTTTATTCTTTCCGAATATAACTTTACCGATACACTCAACTTCAACAATCGCGCTAAACAAACGAACGTCAATAATACTTCTGACTGCAGTTCAATTACTCACTATCTCCACACACATTACATTACCGCGTCACGTTGTCCCCTCTTATATATACCAGCCTACCCTACATCTAGTAAGAAGTAGAACATTCGCCAAAGTATAGGATAATTCTAGAAAGTAGAGAGCGTGAGAATCACATGATCTCGATGACGCAACAATATATATATATATAAACCAGAGAAAAAGATTTTGAAGAAGGCATAAAAACATAAACATATGTACCTTCTAAAAAATTGGCGGATGCTATGGTATAACATGATTAAATCATTCTAGAAATAATTTCATGAAAAGTAGTGTATAAATTAATTATGGTGCTATATATAAATTAGAAATATTATTTTTTTTGTATTACAGTTTTTCAACTTTAAGGGTGTGAAGTGAGTGCTAAGTACAATGGTACTGTGAATAAAAGTAATACTTTTTTCACTATGTTACATAAATATAATTCATTATGTAAAAGACTACAAAAAAATAAATAAATCTATTTCTGTTATTCATGGAATTTCATTTATTTATAAGAAAACTTGTACTAGCATGGGAACTACCAATAGGTATGAAAAAATGCATTTATTGTTTTTGATATTAAGATAGATAATAGTACATTTCACTTACTACTTGTTAACTGTGTGTCATGCAAGAAATTATGGCAAGTAGATTAAATCATAAAGATTCCTTTATTGAAAGAAATGTGCAAGAAAATGACAAGTCTTAAGTGTTTTTTTTTGTTACTTTCTGTAAATACAAAATGGAAAAATCTTGTATTCTAAAGATCAATTCTTGCAAAATTGTTGTGATAATCTTAATCCAAACTAAAACTAAAAAGTATGACTGTATTTCAATTCTTTATACCATCTCTTAAGTAACATGCTTTTTTAATTTATCACTTTCTTCCGACACCTTTTCTCCACCACAGTTTAAGCATGATTGTTGAGAATTTAGTGTTTGTTTGGGCTTATTAGTGCAAAACTTCATGTCTATTTGTACTGGCCAATTCTTTGATTTAAGACATTAAAACATACTAAAAATATATAAAGGAATTGGAAAATGTATACAATAGAAGTTGCTAATGCAAGTATAAACATATAATAAAAGTGAAAAGAAAGGTAAAAATGAAGTAAAAACTTGCAATATATATATTTTTTTAATTGCCTGAATGTGAAAGTTGTTGTTTTGGTGCTAAACAATAAGGCTACATATGCCAAAATGTTTTCTTTCCTCTTAAACAACTATACTGTCAAATTGATTGAAACAGAAAAGTGTTTCTGAAACTTAAAAACAATATATATATATATATATAAAGGTTGAAACATTAAATACACTTAAAAAAAAGCCAGTGGCTCTTCAGTTGCTAAATACAATCAAGTTGGACAGTAACAACTGTAGAGGTTTATAAGACTGTGTATAAACTTTGGATTGAAGAAGTACAGAAAGCCTCCAATAATGCACAGCATGCAGAATCTTCAGTGCAGAGTCCACTTTTGATCAAATGGGAAATGATAAATCTTGAGTATGAAACACTTATGCACTCCTAAGTAGATGGAAAAGAAGACATAAAGAATATTAATTATTAATTATGGTTTAGATTTTGAAAATTTAAAACTGTCTTCAGTGATCCACTGACTTAGTTTATTGAGAGCTCTTTGAAGCAACCATTCAATGACCAACAGGAAAAATGAAAATCATCAACATAGAGACTGTTGGCAAGTGTAGGAGGAGGTTCAGTTATGGTACTGAAAATTATGTCACTCGAAGACACAGCCCAGAGACACTCAAGAGTTTTTGTTTGAAGAATCATAATAGTTTTGATTCCACACTTACCTGGAATGACTTCTCTGCTGAAAAGTTGAATGTGTAAATGGCCATGTTGTTATGTTATTCTCAGGCTGTCAACACAACTTCTGCAAAATGTTAAAATGCAAGACATTGGTCTCAGGCTACCAATACAATAATGCAACACAGTACCTTCCCTCCAATGATACACTAAGTCATCTGCTGAGCCAAACTTTTCAGCTTATTTTATCATATTACTCAGTTAAAATTGCCCTCAGGGATGAGATGAGCAATGTAAAAGCTGCTTTTTTTTGTGGTAGCTGTTACTTATGACAGTATAAATAAGACTGTGGATGTGTTGATATGAAAATTGAGTGATTACTGATTAATCAATTACCAATAATTGGCCAGTTAAGGTTTTAATTTTCCCTACAATTACCTAACCCCTTTATTAACAGTTTTTGAAAAAATTAGATAGCCAATTGACAATCCATTTATATTTCATTTATAAACCACACGTAAACAACAGTGTCAATGTTCAGTTTTTGGACATTATCATATATATATATATATATGGGTTTCTTTGAACAAAAATGGGTTGAATGCTTTTTAATTCCAAGAACTTATGAGTGAAAGCAAAGAAGAATATTGTTACGCCTCCAGTTGTTAGTTAATTTTCCGTAAATTCGTTCCGACGAAACTTTAGCAACACAAGTCCTTTCTTAAATAAAACTGGTTTATTCTTTCCGAATACAACTTTACGATACACTTAATTTGAACAGTCGCTCTATAACAAACACTATAATTCACGTCTCATGTGGCCAACAATATTTTGTCCGTGTACATTCAATCACTCATTACACTGTTGTTCCGTCACGTTGTGAACGTCTTATGTATATACAAGACTAACACATATCTAGTAAATTCTAGGGCATTCTTGAAGGAACAAGATATTTCTAGAAAACAGGTGGCGTGATACTAGTCACGTGACCTCGCTGACGCAACAATATGTTATAATATATCATCCGTATTACATTTGTCATATCCAGTGCTAATGAGCCCTTTTGCCCAATACCAGGGTTCATCAGACCAGCTAGAAGTCTAAAGAGGTTATAATTTCATTGGTTAGGTCACATTTGGAATATTGTGTTCAGTCTTGGACTCATTACCTTAGGAAATACATTGAATTGTTGGAAAGGGTTACTAGAATGGTGCCTGGAATGAAAGGGTTGTCATATGAGGGGAGGCTGAAATCTCTTTCATTGTTTTCTTTTGAAAAAAGAAGAGTTAGGGGGGATCTGATTGAGGTGTTTAAGGTTGTAAAGGGAATTGGTAGTGTTGATTCATCATTTTTTTTTTCATACTTAACATTGAGAATAGTAGGACTAGGGGACACAAGTAGAAATTTTGGCAGGGAAGGAGTTATCAGCTAAGACAGTTTTATTTTTATTTTTTTTTAATTTATTTAGTTTAGTTTAGAGAATGTAACAGCTGAGATGGACTTATAGGTCCCAAAACATTATGTTAAGTTATGTTAAAAGAATGGAGATCCTGTAATATTATGCACTTCCATGTTTTGTTTTCTTAAGATAAAAAAATACAGAAACAAGATCTTCTCTCCTGAGAAATGCTTTCATGAATGATATTTAGGGTCAAATCACGTGGTTCACAGTGAACTGATGCCTTCAATAACCACACTGGTTGGTGGAGTGGAAGAGAACAAGATTGAGAGAGATGGTGCAGGAGTTATAATGCACATCATCTGGTGTGGTTGCTGTAGTGCTAGACGAAATTTGAGCAATTTTAATTTTTATCAGCATGAATAGTTGGTTATAATCAAAACTACATTTTATTCTGAGCTTAATATGGTACTCATAATCCTTTAGGAGTAAATTCGAAATAGTGTTTTATAAAATAATGCTGGTTTGAACCTTGTAACTTCAGTACAGGTGTTATGTTATTGATTTTTAATTAATCACTTGTCATGGTGTGTTATAATTGCAAACATCTCAGCTTTGAAAAGTCATAGGCAAGTGATATAAACACATGAAGGATCTTTTTTCAGCCAATATGGTTTCCCATTCAGTGGAGACTTGCATAGAGATCAGATCAAAGTGATTATTAGCTCAGATTGGTAATATGTTACTAGTAGGAAAGAACTTTGTGAGCAACTTCTACCACAATTATAGTCCTGATTTGTTTTCATAAAGCTTTTTTTTTTATCATTATATGCTTTATTTGAATTATTATGTTGCAGTACAATAGTAGAAGTAATGTTTTTTGTGAAATAAGATGAGGTAGTCTTAGTTCAATCATTTTGCTCTTGACAGTATCAAGTTTTATTTTCAGACAAGGCCACTATTGTTAGAAAATGTTTACATTAGGCCTTATCAGCCTAAGTAACTTGTTGAATAGGCATAGAAAAGAAATATAAAAGAAGTTTGTATTTATTACATAAATAAAACCTTCTGATAGATAGTCACCTTTCTTTTAATTTGGGTATGGTTAAAAGTTATTTTTATTGTACACGGTGATTGTAAACACTGAAACTGCATGAAGTGTTTTCAATGCAAAACAATGTTGAAATTCATAGTTTTTAAAATTAAGAAATGTATAAGAAAGTTTTAAAATGATATATGAAAACATGTCAATGATCGAAGTCTACAACAAAGATAAGCATTTTTAATTGTTTCTTAAAAATATCAAAAAGAAACATTTTCAAAGCTGCAAATTTATACAAAATCCACATGTGAAAATAAGATAGTTTATTTGCAGAAGCTACGGAAGCAGTAGAAGTGGTAGGAAACAGAATACAGTAGCATAACTCCATTTTTAAAAGAGTGTCACCATCTTTCCTTTCCCTAGGTGTGAGATGTTATTCAAAGTCTTTATTTTCTGTACCTCTTTTGCATCAATCCATTTTTGGCATGACCTAAAATATGAGAGTTGGGACTGAGAGCAGTTGACACACTGTGGCTCTAACTGTCACCTAGCTGTCATTGTTTTTGTCATAGCAACTAGCAACCCAAACTGATAAAGTAAGCTGTTTTAGGATGTATAAGCAGCTGACATTAAAAACAGAGGCAGATGGGACTTATGTAAACGTCAAAATAAGATCTCTTGTTGAATCATATATGACATTTTTCCAAATGTAGATTTACTGAACAACTGAAATAATCTGAAAGGAAGATTCAGCATAAATCTTCAATTTGGGTATGTTAAGGCGATTCCATATTTAAAATGTTTAAAAAAGCAGTACAGGTCTTCCTTTGAAGTTTACTTGAACACCAAGAGAGTTATCTGTATCTGTTTTGTCTCGCAACCAGTGATCTGCAGATGTAAGAATAGAATACTCCCAGTGGCACCTTAACTGACACATTGCTAAGACATTATGGAGGCCATGAAAACCCTGATTTCTCTCTTGTATCTAATATGGCTGTACCAAGACACTGAAAGTTGCTTATAGTAGGGGAAGCTTTGAGGTTTCCAAGATGCAGGTGCCCTTGGAAGTTATTCTAAGATTGAGCTGCTGTAGTTTCTCTCTCTCCTGAATTTGGCTCATAGTTATCACATCTGCTCCACAGATTACCATTTTTATCTAGTGTTTGTTATCTCACCTGGTGGAAAAGTAGCTTGAGATGGTGGACTTCATCCTCCAGCACCACTCCAATCTACTCCTGACCACAGGTGACTGACTAGTGGTGGATGAATGGCAAATATCTGAGTG